CGGTATATATATATATATATATATATATATATATATATATATATATATATATATATATTGGCGTCATTCGTGTCCATTGGTAGTTCGAATATAACATATGCACATGCGTTTTCCAAACTTAAGGGTGAGCTGTCCCAAACTGGATAGAGACACATTAGACATCATCATCAATGGTACGACAAACGTGTATGGGTTTCGTTTGGAGATCAGGCTAACAATGACTTTCGCAGGCATGACAATAAGTAGAACTGTTGATGTTTTCTGCAACATTTAGACGTGACAACCTTAAATCTTGCGCATCCATATTTGAAGGAACCCGATATAGCAATACTGAAGCAAAAGTTAGGTAGAATGATAATTAAACTACTGGTACAGTGAAATAATGTGCACTTAGATGTTACCCTCTACATGTACAGTCTGTTTTGCCTAGTTGATGGGGGAGATCGCACAGCATGCTAATGCGATGCAGTGTCTATTTCTGGTTCGCTGTATCTCCGACCGATTCGGTCATGTGCTGCCCGAGGTGTGTGTACTTACTCAAAGAACGATTGATGCACAACCTTTAGTATTGATAAGGATCATCAACTAAGTCCCGCTGCCTACTGTCAAACATGCGATTTTCCAAACAGTGTTCGTATCTTTTGTTCAAATGTCCAAATACTCATCGGTTTGTACCTACCGACGTAGATTCTACTGTGGCCATAAGCTATTTGCTAACGATCTATATCGTACGTTTCGGGTGCAGTCATTCGGTGCTCATAAAACCATTGTCGCTATGCGCCGATTCATTTCCGATGTTATATAATAACACATTGACGTACCATTCCCGTTAGATGCAACCTTTTACTTAATCCATTCAAAAGATTGTCCATGTGCAATGCAACGTCAGACAGACGTCTCTGCACGTCTGCATCCCATCCGGTTAGTACGTGTGTTTTCATAAGCCCCGGTAAATTCAGTATGGCTGAGGAACAACTGGAACTATAACTATGCTCACTCTCATCACTAGCCTGCGGAGTGGAACATGAAATGGCGACATCGTGATAATCGCTACTCGGTTAATTGTCGGGATTGTTCACTTGCCACAGAATTTCCAGGGAAATTTCTCTTCGGATGCAGAACTCAATGTGGTCACACGAGGGACAATCGTTGAGCATTGTGTTCCAAATGTCAAACTTGACACTTTATGCGAAATGTAAGCGGAGAAGCGATGGTAACCTTTTGAAGCAATGGTATCCATCGAACTGGAAACACACAATAATTTGCCACCCTAGCATTGATTTGTATCAAGCACACAAATCGCTCGGAAACCTTGCGCGCACGTCAGTTACGAATGAGCTCATGGACAGACTGAACCATTATTATGCGATGCACCGGCTCTCTAAGCGTCACGCTAGTCAGCATTGAGCGGCTGGTCAAGCTACGGTTATGTAATCCACAACTCGATTTCAAGGACCAGAATGTAGATGGCATAGTCTGGTGAGTAATACCATGGAGCTTACATAGTGATGTGCATCGCGGCCGAATAATAATAATACGAGGAGAAAGATACCGTAGCTCATCGTCTCGGTATGTCACCATACTAGACTCCACTTGAGAAAGTAGCAAGAATAGCATAGCATAGGTCATGATGAGTACAACATTGCAATGGGCAACATGTGAACTCATCGCGAAATACAACCGAGTTAAATAAGCCTAATAAAGTTAGATTAACTGTGGCTCATCCGTTCTAGGCATGTGCAATAAAGATACCACATTGCACCAAGTCAGTGATTAATCATTCTAGAATGAACCTGTACCCAAACGCGACTTACATGTGGGATATAGAATATGAATGACACAAAGAAAATAACGGAGATGGAGTAAGCAACTTTTCAAGTTAGCAGGGAAATGGTACGATTATGTCCACTGCAGGCTATCCGTGTCATATGGTAAAACCAGAGACGGTTATAATCGTCTGTTGTCCGAGGTGAGAGAGAATGAACATAGATGTAGAACCACCAGGTAGTCCGTCGTGTGTTACTATGTATTTCCCCTGGTCATTTGTTCTGACCGCTAGCATATCTCGACCAATTCATCAGTGTCTAGAATACTACCTATGCCCAAGCATTTCGATTTGGATGTCACAACGTGTTGCCGCTGTTCCGGAATCACCCTTGATGACTTGTCTGAATCTCAGTGCGTTTACCTGAAGGCGGCAGCAGTACAAGGGGGTGTGCGTACAGAGACAGACACTTGAGATGAGATACATTGACCTTATATTGCAACCCGAAATAAGTTACTGTGTCACACGAGAAGGAATGTAATAAGCTTCATTTGTCAAGTGGGAATGTATCGAAATACGAACAGATGTTAACGGGACTTGTAATTTAGTCGAGTCCCATTTAGACATCGAGCCAGCAGATAATGGTGTCGCGCGAGTGAAAATGCCATCAGTCTGTCAGGTTGAAGTGTGGCGCTTACAAGTGTTTCTAAATGGCTTCCACTTAGACATTCAATATATCATTTAACATACCAAAGGTCCCTGGTTCGAGATGCAGTACTGCAGTGCTGCGAACGGGCATTTGTTCACACTTGCGTATGGACTAACACAAACTAGATGTAGAAACAATAACCCTCATGAACAATAACACTACGAACGTGCGCCAGTATGGATTGAATGAAAGAATAACAGTCATATTCCACTAGTGTTGGAAGATCTTACGTATAATTATCTAAGCAACCAATACGACTGTCATTGGTTAGTTAACATTTGTGCGTTAACTTAAAAGTAGCAGCTATAAAATTAGTCAGAAGTGTGGACGTCAACAACAGATGGAGATAGATAGAGAAAACGGGAAACAAATGCCATCAATACGGTTACCAGGTGGAATGATACACAAATAAGAGGTACAATAAAACAGTGATGTCTTATCCTTAGTGTGTGTGTGCTGTAGATGCCGTCTGCTATATGCGTTAGGCCGTAATATCACAGATTATCTGATAACCGCAAAGACGCGATCACCAAAGAATATATCTAGCAAATCCCACTGCGTCCTGTTCTACATTCGGCTTTCAAAAAAGTCCTCAAACTGTTTCAGCCAATTTACAAATAGCCTGCATAACATCCAATTACCCAACCGTTGGCAGATGTCGCTGCATACACAACTGTGGCGATAAGCTATTTATGCAAACGACAGACTCATTGTGAGTCGCGAGTAACACGTAAAAACGCCCTGGTCTAACCAAGACGTTAACTACGGTACAATTAAACAAAATACAACTCAAGTGCAATATGTGCATACCTCAGTCCTAGTAGCACCGAGGCAAATCACACGGACGAGTCAAAGTGTGGGTGCTTGAAACGAAAATCGTTGGACATGGAACACCGAATTTCCAAACTGCATTCCAAAGCGAGAAAGCGTTGTAGAGTTATTGGACTCCAGGTATAATTGTTGTTCCCTACACCCAATCTGTTCAACCGAATGCACGAACAAATGTGGAATATTGTAAGCAGCAAGTGCTTGGTAGCCAGTAGTGAAGACAGCCCATATATATATATATATATATATATATATATATATATATATATATATATATATATCCTAAACTTGAGGTTGCATTCTTCATATTCCTTCTCCACGTCATTTGTTGTCCACTCCGGCAGTTTTCAAATCGCATCCGAGGAGTGCAACTAACGCTCGACAGGGAATGCAATAGGCTGGCATGCCCAATATGTGGCCGAGCCAACGAATGCGGTGCCGGAGGAGAATGGTTTTGAAGCATGGGCTGTTTGTTTCAAGCACTCGCTCTCGGACTTCTGTGTTGCTCACGTGATGCTGCTATCACACGTGAGAGTGATTGTCGAAAACGGACAATTGTTTTATGTCATCCGAGCGAGTCGGCCAGGTCTCACAGCCGTACAAGAGAACCGCACGGACAAAGGCAATGTATACCCTGCCCATGAGACTGACGTCACAACGGCGCCATAAGTGTGTCAGGCTGATGATTGCAAGGTGAAACCGCCGTCATATGTCAACGCAAACCACGCAGACTCCACCTATGCTCTCGCCAGTGACACTGCGTTATCTACCACCTCAAACCGTACTGACGCAACTGAGCTCTCCTCAGGATACTGTTGTATCTATCGCCTCAAGTTACACTGACCTCAATCGTGTTTCCTAAGAATGTTACCATTTTGTGGCAACTAATGTACAACATTTATTTTCCTCTAGAGTTTATGTGTTACTCTGTTATACAATTGCACTATAAATACGGTGTTAGGTGTATCCGCCTTCGGCTAAGTCAGTAAACGAACTCTTCTTATCAGCCGGAATTTCTTCTCTGGGTCTCGGTGCAGTCTTGTGAGGTCACACATTTCATCTCTAGTCTCAGCCAGTGAGCACATACGTTTGGTAGCAAGGTTTCCTAGGCCGTACCGATCCGAATTCAAACAGATGCGCAGCCGGTTCCGACTTGGAGTCGAAACAACTAGGACATTTATAACGGTTGCCCAGCTTGTGTGTTCCATTGTTTCTTGCTACCTCATACAACAGCCAGCGTTACTAAGGCAAGTAAAGCGGTGGGGTTCATGGCTGGTCCATTGGGAACAGTATTCACGAACCATGATACGCTATAAATAAAGAGGACGCAAATCGCCACGTAAGAAAACAAACTCTCGCACCTCAAGGATAAAAGCAGAAAGACAACCAGCGAAGAAATGAGAGCTGAAAGTTGTGATTCAATGTGCAACAGAGAAGCAGTGCATACCGATGGGAGAAAAACTCAGTCAAAGCTGAAACAAAGTCCGAAGGGGAACAGAACGAGCACATGACCTCCACAGCGCCCGCATATAGGCCGGCGGCCTGAATACTGACATTCTCCTCAAAGTTCCAAGGGCGCCACGCCGATGGGTGACCGTGAATTCCGTGAGAAACAGTGCCTAAAGTAGAAACAAAAAGGACGAAGATAAGCAGGTGAACAGGATAAACAAACCAAGAACGAGATAAACAATGGAGTAGAACCCTTGCAGCTACCACAAAGTTAAGACCCCATAAAGATATGGATATTGAAAGTTTGTAAATTGCAACGTGTACTAGGAGGCTTCTCAGAGTTCGTTCCTATCCTCGGTGTAACAATAGTGGAAGGACAGCACTATGCCGCAAGAGGACACTTGACTAATTTGCCTAGCAAACCCCGTTGACCAAAAGTGATGCGTGCCATGCCTGCATTTCCAAGAGAGAGAGAGAGAAATACACCGATGAAGGAAACAATGAGTGAACAAAGACATCATCAGAAAATGATCTGGAGGTTGGAGCTTGCCCAGCCCGGTCTAGCAGGGATCAACTTTACATGGTTGCAGCGCAACGCTCTCAAAGACTAGATAATTCAAAACAGGAAATCCATAGAGCAAATAGCTGGACCAAACGATGAATGACCGTCCTGAACAACATATACGTGTGCGACTGTCGTGTGCATGACAAAAATGACGCACTGTTCAGGGAAAATACTGACCGCGAAGCCGGTAAAAGTCACTATGAAGCAAAAAGAGGCGAACAGTGAGTTATACGACTGAAGTAATTGTGAAATATTTTCACGCATAAGTTGGTGGTAAACCTGACCTATGTTCGATTTAAACACGAGTCCAGAAGGAAGTGATAAGATGTGAGTGAAGATCACAAGGTTGTGCAAGCGTTGCATAACGAAACACGATATATCACTTATAAATCGAAGCAGATTATTCATGCATTCATATTGTGACGGCAGATAATGCAGAAATATTAAAGCAGGAATCGTTCGTTGGTGGAACAAGGTGACTTACTCCTTCTTATCGGGACTAGAAGGGAATCGACCCACGCGACATCTGGTCCGTTGGGACGTGCGATAAACCAATCGAATAACTGGGATTTCAGCTGAATTTCGGCGTCATGTGCCGTGATCGTGTTGCTGGACACTAAAGTGGAAATGTCCTGGTGCAATCGATCACAGGTATCGGCAGTGAACTGCAGCTGAGACCAACCTTTGTGAGTAAACAATCCCGCGGCGGACGAGTCAGTCTCATTCTGCTTGCCTGCGTGCCTACAGGAGACAGCAGACGCCAGAGCGTGGTGATGTTTGAGAACACAGTGTACCAGGATCTGCACTCGCAAACGATCCACGAACCAGTTGAAACGTCGGTCGCCAGACAACGGACTAGGATGCATTCCATCATGAAGAATGAAAGCGTCCGGATCCAGAGGAGTGAAGTGCCAGTGCTCGCGCAGTAGAACATAGCATACACTCACCGGTCGCCCTACGAAAAAATATAGCAGTCAGAGCCATCAGTCGATCATCAGTCAGCGCCATACACAGGACACAGGATTGGGAATGTCAGGAAGAGTTTATTGCAGTTTGTTTTACGCAAATGGAAGAATGTGATTTATGCATCAAGTAAGATGAAGTCAGTCACCTTGGTCAAAAATATCGACAAAAAGAGTACACGATGGAAGGGAACCGAAGTAAAAACAACCATATCGATAGGGCAACGGCAGGAGAGTACCGAATACCGTATCCTGTGATACCTGCACTCCGTTCAATGATCAGTTGGCTGTGATTCTCTCTACCACGTTCTTATCTGTTTTCTCTGGTTCTCAATGAAGTATAGGTGTTCTGATGTTAAATTAATTACGAGTTTATTTTACATTTTGAGAAGGTGGAAAACCTATATTCATTGCACATGTTTGACCTGGTTTTCTAACTTCAGAATTAATATCATGATCGTCGAACGCTGAACCGTATAATTTCACTGTATGGGCTTCGGTGGCTTGGGCACGTGCATCGCATGCCTACTGAACGTTTGCCTCACCGTGCACTGTTTACGCGAACAGAAGTCCACTGGAAGCGACGACAAGGTGCCCAGCGAATGGCTTGAACCAAAAGAATAAAGATGTTGACTTCACATTTACTTTTGTCAATATATATATATATATATATATATATATATATATATATATATATATATATAGCACATCCAATGTGCAATTGACAGTGTGCCGCAACGTATTGCCAAAAATAATGAAGAAATAGAGTGGTTTAACAAAGGTGTACAACTGGAGTCATGGGGGCAGAATGTTACCATTTTGTCGCCATTGCTCACAGTTTCTTAACATGTCCGATAGCGTTTCCAGCCAAGTGTGCTCATGTTCCTTGCGCACCCAACTGGGGAGTCGAGAACGCCCGACCGCGGCCATATATAAATATATATATATATATATATATATATATATATATCACTATTGCCTTACCTAGTAATCCTTGAGGTGTTATCGGTGCACTCTAGAATGTGTCAATATCTATCCCTTGTGCACACATTACCTCGACCTGCATGAGTGCGCTGGCAATATTGCACTGTTGATGTGGGTGGTCACATACATGAAAACCGTTTGGTTTGTGCGGCCTATTGTTTTGTTCCCTCGTACGTAGAACTGGAACATGACACCAATATGTAATGCGCAAATTCTCACATCAACGGCTCATGGTACCCTCGTTTTCTGAGTGGTCCTGTGTAAGCCTGTCTTTACCTACAGTGCAATGAGACGAGTTCATTGCCACGTGTGTCTTGAAGCCAGAGTTGTAGGCTATTTTTGATTTTGGCTGTTGTTGGTACGTCTGTACCGGAAGCATAGATTATTGAGGTATTGTATCTATGTTGCTTTTAATTGATTGCAAATAGTACCGCATCCCAGTTCCAGCGAAAACGAGTTGGTCCAAGGCTTCCAAGCCATTTTTCCTTTACACCAACGGTAGTACGGTCGAAAATAAACGTCACGATCGACAAAGTTGAAAATCGTCAGGGGCTTTGTGACTGCGCGTTGTAGATATAGCTAATCAAAAGGCCAACAACTGACAGATGGCATAATACATCTGTCTAACAAGGCACTTCGATCAGTTGCTCTATTACTGAAAACCGTGCCATGGATTGTCGGTTTCACTGGATCGCCAAATCATATTAGACAAGGCTAAACAACAATACAGATAAGTACGTATAAAAGCGAGTCGAGATAAGTATTGTGACGGAAGAAAAGATGGTTTGATATTGCCGAGAGGGTTTTATTACCAACCGCCAAGTTGGGTGGACCAACGCTGCTCATTTGGTGTTCCTACCGTTTACGGGTGATGCAGCCAACGCAATGGTGGTTAAACATGAGTGCTCTGCGAATGTATTCAGCGTGTGGTGACGATGCCCATGAAATAAACATTATCACTGGAAGCGATGTGCAACACAGCAGCCCTGGATGATAAAGTAATGTACCGCCACTTTAACAGATAGTTGAAACTTTGAACGAGAAGCGAGCCTTTGCGATGTAATCAGTTACCTCATCGGCGGTCACTGTAGGTGATACAATAGAGAGCAGTGGGGGGTGGGGATTTGGTGAGCTGGAAAGATTCATCGTAGCTAGACTCAGACAGACGACCGCCATGCATACAGCAAAGCGTAAGATGGCCGTTTCATCCAAATGGGACTCGGCAGTAGTGCGCATCCGCCGGATCCAGCTTGGTCCGAACCGTGATATAATTAGCCAAAAATGTGGACCGATGGATCGCCTCGGGAGGGGGTTCGAAAATAGCGGAAACTAGTGGTAAACCAAACAACCATGCTAGGGTACCATGCAGCCTGAATATATGAAGCGGAAGACAACCAGAAGGCACCATATCTACGTATGACGTTCATCAAACAACTTGCAATGAATGGAAAGGGTAAGATGGATTATTTGTGCGGGACTAGGAATGCGATTTATCACTGGAGCAATGTTCAGCCCAGATAGCACATGGTCAGCCTAACATAGAGAGATGTTCTGTTGCTGTCCGTGACACGATGCAGCTGGCACAAAGGATGCAGACAAAGGAGGCACCACACCTACTCAGTGCAGCTAAATGAGATCAGGTTAGGGGAAACTCTTGCGGGTGCAGTAAGTGCATCCATACGTGGTTTGGTCGTGGTGGTGTTCTGGATCAAATTGTGCAACTCAGTACCACAATTTCGAAGCACGGTGACTCAGTGGGACAACGGCTTGTACGAACGGCTGCAGAATAAAGACAGTTTTGTGAGTACGCCCATTGCCAAAAGGAGATCAGAAGTAGCAAATGGTTGGATTGTGCTTATCAAACAATGACACAAGCATTGTAACATTCTAAGTAGGTCAGAATGACGAATTCTGATACATCTGTGTTGCTGCACCAATATAGTGGCAGGCGCACACGCGGAGTAACGTCATTAATTACCGCACATTGTCAACGAGGTTCAGCTGTACGACTTCTGTTAGTTAGATGTGACGCGCTCTCAAAATATGTACTCCGCAAAGTGGTTGTTTAGGAATTGCTTGAATTCTGACACCGATTTCACATCGACTATTGCCTCGGACAAACTGTTCCATTATTTCACCGCACGATACACGAAGCATAGAGGGCAAGTCGTCCGCTTCAGGTCCACTACAGCATGTTTGTATCGGTATCCGCGAGTGTTACTTGGTGAACGCGCGTACTGAAGCGGTCCCAGCTCAGGGAAGTCACTCAGAAGTAATATCTAGTGCTTTATGAGGTCCACTCGAAACCGACGATCCGACAGGGTGTACAATACGTCTACTGTCAGTTTCCGTAAACTGACGATGAGCCTGGTAGCCACATGCCGAAGACATTCTGGTCTCTGAACCTCTGAATAGGCGAGTGAGTCTTACTCCAGCATCGGTCTTATAATTGAAGAGGAGAGACGACAGGGTAATCACTTCAGACCAAATGCAGAAGTTGCGTTTGAGCGCCCAAAGCATGCGCAGTCCGCTCCCGTACAACCTGTTTGTATTGTCCAGGGGCATCAAATCGCAGAATGAGAGTACGCCTAGTTCCTATATGAAAAGTGTGGTAGGTAGGAGTTGGTCGGCCAGAGTGTACATACATCCATCTCCAACCTTACCCAGGCACATAAATGGCAACTTGACTGGGTTAGCCGGTAGATGGACATACGCAAACCACAAAGAGAGACGATCAAGATCAAGCTGAAGTACCTCGCAGTTGTCAGGAGCATCAATAACTCTCTGTAAGTTCAGGTCGTTCGCACACAAGCACAAGGCGACCGAAGAAGTTGGGGTAATCCGTTGATGTGATTTGGACGAGATTTGATACAAAGCAAGACTAACTGCTCCAAATTAGAAAAAAAGGATATTTTACATAATACTGATGCGCGAACCTTGGAGTGAATATGAACATAGGGTGGAGGATGAAAAATGTGTTAGACTGGCAAGCAATGTGCTAAATGCCTTCGGGTCCACCAACCAAGCAAACAGACGAAAAAGACTATAAGAGGGATGCAGAATATAAAAGTAAACCCAAAAAGCGCTGAACGACCGTTTCATATTACAGAGGCTCGACAGCAATGCGCGCCCATCGGATCCTACTGGATTCGTGCAAGTGGCTGGGCTTACGATTTACGGGGTTGAGCTACAAAGTGCTGGGTGACGCTGGTTGACCTCCATGGTTGATCACTGACTATAAGTAAACGTGCCTAATCCTCCACTAGCATGCATGGAATGAAGGCGCAGAGGACAATGTTGACCACCCAAGACTACAATTTCCTAAGAAGTCGTCATAAATCGAGGTGGCATGCAACCTGCTCAAGCAACTACTCATTACCACTGATACTGATTAGAAGCAGCGAGGAGAGCATACTCTGTGTAGCTGCATCAATTGTCGCTCTTGGACATCAACATATTAGTTACCGTTCCGCTCTTTATATTTTGCCTCTTCGAAATGTTTGTCCAGAAGCTTCTTCAATTCGGCCACTGATTTCGCCTCTATTACCGGCTGCGGCAGGTTGTTCCAGGTATTCACCATTCTACGTTCGAAACAGAGTTGGTGAGCTACCCGCTTCAACTGTGGTACGATAAGTTTGTAACGGTGTCCTCGCGTGCCGCATGGTGTGCGCAGATGAAGCAGTTATCTCAACATGGGGTAATCACTAAGATGTAATATCCGGTGAGTGATGATGAGGTCAACCCTCAGCCGACGATATGCTAGGGTGTACAGCCCTAGTTTCTTACATCGGTCTTCATATGGCATGCCTCGTAAGTTGGGAATCAGCCTAGTGGCTACATGCTGCACCCGCTCAAGCTTTTCTACCTCGCCCAGCGTGATGGGACAATATGCGGGAGAGCGGTACTCTAGCATTGGTCATATTATCGAGACAAAGAGGCGTGTGGCAATCTCTTCGGACCAAGTGCTGAAGCTGCGCCTGAGCGCCCAAAGCATCCGAAGGCTGTTTTG